GCTAGCTGTCTTCAGCCAAACAGCAAGGCCAATATGAGCTTAATCAATTATTTGTATTCTTATTATATGATAGTTACTGAGAATCTTTCATAGTATAAAGCGACTTGGCGAGTAAATATCACTTGCCACAATGTCAAAGCTCAAATAGTGTTTGACAAATCGTAAAATGTACTTAATCTTGTGTACTTATTTAAACTTTGACATCTGCTTACTGTGTGTGAATTTGCGTTTATTTATACTCGCCACCGGTTGACCATATGGGCGAGTCCTCCAGAAGAGTACGCGTCATTTTATATTTTGGAGGATAGTGCAATTACAGATATAGAAAGATATGCTCCGATTCCAGAAGCTTCCCCTTCTTTAACGTGCCAAGTTGTTTTAGCACCCATACACGGGACCTCGATTTAAAGTATCATCCGAAAGACTGATCAGTAATTTTAGTTGGCCAGCCCGGGAATAGAACCAACAAGGTCGAGGTTACAAGTCTCGCGCTCTATGCGGGCTGGCTGCTTACAAACATTCCGGTGCATATAATCGTAAATTCGCTCATATCTAGCACCCGACTGCGGATCGAATACTACATGATCAAGGAGTACTACATGATACGAGCCGTGTCACGACAAAACCAACATAATGGGTTTGCGACCAGCATGGATCCAGACCAGCCTGCGCATCCGCGCAGTCTGACCAGGATCCATGCTGTTCGCTATCAGATTGACAATGCGGATGCGCAGGCTGGTCTGGATCCATTCTGGTCGCAAACCCATTATGTTGGTTTTGTCGTGACATGGCTCATATTTTTTTTTGATTTTCGTATTGACCGTGTTTTTTCACGTATTTGCCGTTTCTGTTTAAATAAAAAATTTGCATTGATATTCAATCAATATTTCACGTTTGAAGTGAATATTTGTGATGTTTCTTTTTTGAAAATATAAAAAGGGAGATATTTTAGAAAAAGTACCTTTCAGGATCATCTGTCCTTTAGAAATGCATTAGTACTTTCATATGAAATAAGTATTTTAAGTTTAAAGTGAATTTGTTTAAAATTAGCCGTAACCAAAAGGTTAATCAGGGCGAAAACATCTTAGAAAAATATGGGAATAACTTTGCAAAAATATAACTAGGATTATCTGCCTTTTGATATTGAATCATATGATCATAGTGAACAACTAAACCACGTTTAAAGTAAATTCGGTTGTTTCTGAGAAAATAAATGAAATTACTTAAACCAAATTCTGAGAGTGACAATACCATAATACCTTTAATCTGTTGTCAATCAGGGTTACAAATGAAAATGTTGAACGAGAAAAAAATACTTATCTATAGATTAAGTATCAATTATCTTTTCTAGCCTAAAGATTACATTATATAGTAGCTTAAAACCTCGATATTTATGTTCGCTAAAGAAACCAAGTAAGACAAAGATAATTTTTGTGTAATGGCAATTACAATAAAAATAATTATGAGAATGTTAACAAGAGCTGTCGGTAGGACAGCAACGCTCGACTATTCTTAGTGCTTGATAGTAAAAAAAATGCTTGATACAGTTACCTCCTCCTGTTTACAGGTTGGGGTCATGATGGTGAACAAGTGTGCAAAGTTTCAAAGTCATATGTCAATGGACTTTGAAAATATTTGAACTATTACAAAAACTTTAACGTAAATTCTAAGTCGAAAAGGGGCATAATTCTGTCAAAATGCTTGATAGAGTTACCTCCTCCTGTTTCCAGGTTGGGGTCTTGATGGTGAACAAGTGTGCAAAGTTTCAAAGCCATATGTCAATGGACTTTGAAAAAATTTGAACTATTACAAAAACTTAAACGTAAATTCTAAGTCGAAAAAGGGGCATAATTCTGTCAAAATGCTTGACAGAGTTACCTCCTCCTGTTTACAGGTTGGGGTCATGATGGTGAACAAGTGTGCAAAGTTTCAAAGCCATATGTCAATGGACTTTGAAAATATTTGAACTATTACAAAAACTTTAACGTAAATTCTAAGTCGAAAAAGGGGCATAATTCTGTCAAAATGCTTGATAGAGTTACCTCCTCCTGTTTACAGGTTGGGGTCATGATGGTGAACAAGTGTGTAAAGTTTCAAAGCCATATGTCAATGGACTTTGAAAATACTTGAACTATTACAAAAACTTTAACGTAAATTCTAAGTCGAAAAAGGGGCATAATTCTGTCAAAATGCTTGATAGAGTTACCTCCTCCTGTCTACAGGTTGGGGTCATGATGGTGAACAAGTGTGCAAAGTTTCAAAGCCATATGTCTATGGACTTTGAAAATATTTGAACTATTACAAAAACTTTAACATAAGTGGTTACGCCGACGCCGACGCCGACGCTCGGGTGACTGCAATAGCTCTACTTATTCTTATCGAATAGTCGAGCTAAAAAGTAATATAATTCTACTTTAAACATGATTTTAACATGAATTTACATCTTGCGACATTTAACGGTAGTGTTGCGACATTTAACGGTAAGGGAAATTCGTGCGACATTTAACGTTAACATTGCGACATTTAACGGCAAATGATTTTGCGACATTTAGCGGCGGTTGCGACATTTAGCGTCAATGGTGCGACATTTAGCGGCAAGTGCGACATTTAGAGGCATTGCGACATATAACGGCGCCACAGAGCAATAGAAAAACATTTTTTCATAATGATGATATTATAGATTATTTAGAGTTTCCTCATTTCTGTAAAAAGTCCTTCAAATAGGAAAGTTTAGTTCAGAAATATATCCATAACTCATGTACCACACGGTAAATTCTATTTAAATATGTATTACAGGTGACCATTAAGACATATAACTGTCCTATGTTGTTAATTTTAGAATTCCTTATAGTGCCCATTACTCTTGGCTTACCTTAACAGTTTGCCGACATGCCCCTATATGCTGTGCGTTCGTATTCCATTCGTATGCCCCGGGGACTTTGGATTTTTAATATGAGCCGCGTCATGACAAAACCAACATAATGGGTTTGCGACCAGCACGGATCCAGACCAGCCTGTGCATCCGTGCAGTCTGATTAGGATCCATGTTGTTCGCTTATAAACATTTTATCAAGTAGATAAACTGATAGCGAACAGCATGGATCCTGATCAGACTGCGCGGATGCGCAGGCTGGTCTGGATCCATGCTGGTCGCAAACCCACTATGTTGGTTTTGTCGTGAGGAAGCTATCCAGCTCGCTTACAGAATGTCAGAGATACTTTCTCGGGCGTTTGCTTATGTCTGCACAGACAGAGGGGCACCGGCATAATGCACAAAAGGACTCCTGAGGTCTTCCTCCACCCGTAAAGCTGGAAAGTTGCCATATGACCTTTAATGTGTCCATGTGACAAAACAAACAAATTAAAGCTGTAGAGTGCTAGCATGAACATAACACATTTTTGCCTCCAGTATTATTTAAATATATTAAGTCTCAATAAACTTTGTACTTAGTATTCTGTTTGCTGCTTATTTTTACCAGGTGATCAGAGAACAAAATGTTAAAATTTAGTCCACTCTATGTCGGTTGTCCGTCCACTCATACTTTGCTTTAAACAACTCCTAAACCAATATCAATAAATCTTCATAAAATTGTTTAAAATGTTCCATTTCATGCAGGGTTTGCATTGGCAACCAAAGGAATATGATTTTTTTAATCTCGTATCAAATATGAGCAGGTCTTGTCTTATTTACCTGTCAATCATCAACACAAAAGTTTTGGCAATCCAAAATGTAATTACAAAGGAGGAAGTAATGATTACTTATAAACGATACCAGGTAGCTATGTGATAAACTTCATTTTGTACAACAAATTGATTAGATATAGCAAATGTGTTTGGCTTAAACCACTGAATAATGTTTATTGGCTCGAGCCCAAACATGTGTTGAAGTGTTCCTGGTCCGAAGAAAAAAATAAGTTGATATATACACTATTAGTTATAAAGATTGTTGACAGGTTATATGGTCCTATATAAACGGCTTTTTTGTAAATATAACCCGAGCTGCTAGGATACAGCAAGCATCATTTTTTAGAGAAAAAGTAAGATTTCGTCATGAATCGACAGAAACGTGTATATTATTAGTTATAAAGATCGTTGACAGGTTATATGGCCCTGTATAACGACTATTTGTAAATATAACCCGAGTCGTAAGGCGAGGGTTATATTGCAAACAGCCATTTGTATACGGCCATATAACCTGTCAACAATCTTTATAACGAATTTATAATACAGCAAGTACACGTGCAGTAGCTTAATAAACTAACTCAATTGTGTTACGGACAGATAAACAGACGACTATATGTCCCGGCTACTTTGTAGCAGAAGGCACAAAAATGAAGAAACAAACAACCAGGTCATGTCTTTACCGTCAACCACGAGTAGCCATTACTTTGCCTCGTTATTTCAAATTTTGATGCATTGATAACCAAGTTAATGGTTCCATAAAAAGAAAACTCATGAATTCACAACAAAACACGATACTGGTCATTAATCTGCTGGTAGCTATGCGACAAGTGCAGCTCAAGACCAACCTATACAACGGTGTCATCTACACTGTTATTTAAATTTCTCATAAAGTGATGAACTGAAAAATGATTAATTTAAATATATAGCATGGTAAAGGTTAAACCTCGAGGGATTTTCTGAATATTCTCTGCTTGGCAATCAACTAAATAATTTTGCATAATATGAGTAAAAAAAAGAACATCAAATCTTATTCTTTTAACCTTGATAATTAAAAAACTTAGCCTGTAATAACAAGAAGAAGAAAAATACACCAAGTAAAGAGCGTTTTAGTGTATAAACGATTGATTTATGTATAACTGTAACGAATATTCATGTCCGCTATCCGTCCATATCTACTCAATAATGATAGCTTCTTTTAAACATACACACTTAATCTTAAACATTTGTCATTCCCTTCACAATTATATCAATAAAAGTCAATCACAGACGACTTTCGATAACACCCCCTCCCCCTTTAATAAATGACTTTCCACATGTATACATGTACCTCCGGGAGTCGCATTGTGGTTCTTGTTTTGACTCTGAATTAAATAATTACTGAATTAATTTTGGATTTTATGTCGTATCTTTCAAGGCTCCTTGGACAAACATGGACACGATATTGTTTAGGATCTTTATTAGTATCATAAGTTATGATGCCATTTTAGCCGATTCTGAACTCCCTTGGTGTAATCCAGATTGTACATACTTAGCTTGGGAACCATGGACACCATGCGAACCTTCAAGAATCGAGATTCAAGAGTCAAGATACTGTGAAATAAATGTTCAAAGACGTAAACGGAGTTTTGGAACGTTGAATGACTGTAATGAACAATTTAAATCATGTCATACGGAAGAGGTTCTTTGCGGAAGTTCGTGCGATCTCGTCGCTTGGCCCGAAAACTGGCACCCAGACTGCCCATGTCCCGATGGATATTTTGGTACTTGCTGCCAGCAAGGTTAAGTAATATCAAAATTATTTGAATGTAAGGAATAGGGAACAAAACGTTGGAAATATTTTGTTATTTATGTACATGTCATTTATAATGCTGTTAAAAATTGTCTTTTGATGAGCAAACATTAAAAGTTGGCTTATTATATGATATGCATGTTTGTTATATATTACTGAAACCAGGTCTTTTTTTATTACGTTACATAAGACGGTAAGATACCAAAGGTAAGGCCATTACAATTAGTAGTAGTTTGACTTTCTTACAAAATGCTAAAACTAAACTTGTGACCGAAAAGCAACAGAAGAAACATATGGTAACATTTTGAAAACTAAAGCAACGCCAAAAATAATTAGATTTTGAAAAACAAAAAACACAAAAAAAACACAAAGAAACCAAAACATTTCTTGAGCATATTACATAAGCCTTAAACAGAGCAGTATTTTGCAATTTTAATAAAGTCTTCCGTTTTCTGCTGACATGGAAAATGGAACATATAGTTTAGAAGATAATAAAAAGATAAGCATTTTTAATTGTTTTATTTGATTAAATTTGGCTTGTTCATTTATGTCGTGCATCATATTGAAAAACTATATATACTTTGTAAGAGAAAAAATTGTTACCCACATGTAATTGCTTTTAAAATAGTCTTAGATTTAATAGCTCGGAATATTTACAAAAATACAAATTTGACTGACGCTAAAACTAGAAGCTGGCTAATTGTAAGATTGCTATCCGGAATGACAATTTATTTACTCTGGTAACCTGTAAGCACGGTTAATTTTTTTAATATCATAAAATTATACAAGTGTAAAATAGACTATAACTTTTTGTAAACCTTCTCTAATTATACTGATAATATGATAGAATATAAGGTATATTTGTAAATATTACAATGTGATATACATGGATAAATATTGTAAGATATAAGGGGGTGTAACCCCGGTCCTCTCATACTTATTACTTATTACGTGGTGAATAAACGGGGTTATCTGTCTTGCATCCATGAATGTCTTTTGTAGTTGTTCACTGCGGTCCTCCGCCTACCATTAAAAATGGAAGATTCAAAGAAATTGATGCCGAAAATGGTCAAAGATACAGATTTAAAGATTATGTGGACTACACGTGCGAGAAAGGATACAATATGACGAAATTGTCATATGGGTGGATGTATTGTGATAAGGAAGGAAATTGGTCGGGAAAATTGCCGGAATGTTTGGGTAAATACACATATATGGACTCCGTGACCGAGTGGTGAATATTGATGACTCGAAAACATTTGTTTTTCATCGTTGTGGGTTCAAATCCCGTCATGTAAAGACATTATCAAGCTAGCTTGAAAGTCGCCGTATGACCTTTACCGTGTGTGTGCGTGCGTGAGTGCGGCGTGTGCGTGTGTTGGTGCGCGCGTGTGTGTGTGTGTGTGACTTCGAATCCAACAAAACCAACAAACAAATATGGCTATCACCATCTACACTAATTACAATTTTTCCGTTTTTATTTTCAATATTAAAAATAAATGATATGCATGGTTGAATTGAAATTTAACAACGCTTTGTACCTTTGGTTTAATCTCATTTGTTTCTGAAAATTACTTGTATGATCATACTTTTTATTGAAAAAAAAAGTTTCGACCACCATAAATAATAATTTACATGTTAATTATGTGCGATTAATGACTGATTTTGTATTATTTACCACCTTTCTACTACGTGGCTAATGCAGTAAAGGGTTATTTTGTATATTTGACCCCCGCATCACTTGCCTAGCTTTTTATATTCCTATGTTTTCAACAATCGAAAATGTTTGGTTATCTTGCTTAATTTATGTGGATTAATAATTGATTTACATTATTGTACTGTATTAGTTAATAAATTCGTGTACATAGTACTTAGAGAAGTTCCGTACGGGTCGATATAAGTATACAAAGTTTTATGATAATTTTTTAAGGTATCTTTCAGTTGTGGAATGTGAAGAGCCAAAGTCTATCGAGCACGGTTCCTATCGCAACAGGTCAAACAAATATGTGTACAACAACGAAATAACTTATACATGTGATAAAGATTATATTATGACTAATTCGTCAAATGCGAAAAGCGTATGCACAGAGACTGGGCAGTGGTCAGGAGTGTTACCAAAATGTCTATGTAATTCAATTTTCAACTATTTTGAATTAGTCAAAGTCAAAAATGATATTTGTTTGCTATTCTGTTTAAAGAATTATATAAATATATGCATTTTTATCTTGTAAAGTCGATAATAAACACGTTTCCATATGCATTTTAATTCAAAATATCACCATATATTGCTGTTCAAGTTGGTGATAGCTAGGGTGCGCGGTCTTAGGAAACGCTTACCACTACCGTCCATGAAAATGCCCAATCAAAATGAGTCTGCAACATTTTCAATTTTTTCCGTTTTGGACATTCTTTATTTTTCTGAATTTTTGTTTATATTATAACAAGTATGTAAAGTGCCGAAAATGTTAATGAATTGAGTATTTTACTGCATGTATCTTAGTTAAAGTAAGAGCTATGTCGTATTGACCTTCTATACCTAACTATAATACGAATGCACACACAAAACAACACTTTTATGTTTTAGATGCTGAATCGTGTAGAAGTACGCCTTGTGGCAATAATGGAACCTGTACAAACCTTCTTGATGGCTATACTTGTACATGTACTGTTGGTTGGATGGAAAAGACTGTGAAAAGTCCACACATGGTATGGTATGCTTATTCATTTATAAAATGGGTAGATCTTCCTTTAACCCTTTCCCCCATGAGCATATTGTGAAAAATGGCCGTTTTCACTGAAAAGCCTCCTGTTACAAGTTCAAACTGCTATGAAACTATGAAAAATGCTTCAATACTAATCAAACTTGGCACAAACGTTGACTGGACCATTGCCTTTGTAACGACATGCTCAGTCTTAAATTTCCTGTTACCATGGCAACGAGGGACATCTCAAAATTGCCAAAAATCACTATTTTGCCTCGATTTTTTCCATCAAAATTTATTTCAAAGTGCTGCAACTTCTCAAGGGATTGAGATAGAGTCAAAGGCTTTTCAGCGTTGGTTACACGTTACATTATGATCAACCTGGGGTCATTTTTAGCCTCTCATAAGTCCAAAATTTTCTTGGCGATGAGGGGGACTGCCGCCCCCCTTCAAACCCCCCTAACAGAAGGGGGCACATCCCCCTTCTGCCAACCCCCTGATGTATCTTTTGGATGCGGGGCGGCGCCGAAAAAGTGCTCATTTTTTTAAGCAACATTTCTAAAACGAAAACATGTGTTTGGGGCCCAAATAGGACATTTTTTCACTATCTGAGGCCTAAAAAGGGGGGGGGGGGTCAAAAGTGCGTTGTTTCGCGTATATATGAGGTAAAGGGTTAAAGTATTTCTTACACAAATCGAAGTAGAGAAATGGTGGGGAGTAGTTTTACTCAGGAAAATGAATTATTTGCCAAGGCTACTGCTTTATTAGTTTTAACTTTTCGTTGTTTTGTTTTGTTTTGTGTTTTTGTGCGGGGGAGGGTGCAAAAGGTGACAAGAAGCTATGATGGTCCTTAAACGCTCACCTGATTCCATTAGTACATGTACCTCATTATTGCTAAGTTTCCTCAAAATCAGCCAAGCAGTTGAAGAGGAAAGGTCATTATGCAGACTGTAATGATTTAAGCAAGTTTTGTAAAGAACCACCCGAAGGTAGCCATATTAAATCCAAACTTTGCCTGGCAGTTGAAGAGATGTCCCTTGAAGCTTATTATCTTGTTTAACATTCGGCAGACCGGAACGATTTAAAAGAACATTTTTTGAAAGAGTAAAATGATCACTCTGTATAATTTTACGAAAATCTTCATAGTTATTCAATTTTCAGCTATATGTTCCATCTTGTTCAGTAGACTGGAATCGCTTTAGCAAATTTTGTAAATATCACTTGATGATTAACTGTAGACTTTCATGAAGAAAACTTTCATGATGAAAACTATCAATCATTTGAGGGTGAAATCGAGGGTTTAGAATAAAATAGTTGCAATTCCTTTGAGGTATAACTGTCACGCATCAATTCCTCGAAATGTCCGAAATGTCCTATAATGTTTTTTCTAGTTTTAGCTCTGGTAACCAATTAGTTTGACAGATCGGATCATTTTAGCAATTTCTGAAGGACTACCAGGACCATTCCTAAAATCTCTAGCATAGTTGAAGAGGAAGTGTCCTACAAGCAAATTTCTTTTTTTTTCTTAGGTCTGATCTCAATCTTGCTCAGCAAACCGTCACGAGTGTAAAACAACGTTTGGTGATAATTGCTATGAAGTTTCACTAAAATATTTCCAGCTGTTATGGAGAAAATGTTGTGGTTGTTTTCTTGTTAAAAAAAGAATAACAATTTTAATTAAAAAAAACCAACGTAGGATCATTTCTGTATAGGTTCATGCAGTTAAGGAGGATACGTCATTTAAAGCTTTTTCATTTTTTAACTCTGGCAGCCATTGTGTACAACAGACGCTTTTTTTAAAAGACCACCTAATTATTACTCCCTTAGGAGTTCATTAAAATATACAATAGTTGAGGAGGAGATGTCGTTTAAAGGTTTTAATACTAATCAAAACTCTCGCGGTCATTTTTTTCTAGCAATCATTTGAGCATTTTATGAAGAATCATCCAAAAATAGTTCCTTTCTAGTTTCATCACTTAAATTCAACTGTAGTTTAGAAAGAAGTTTTAAAGTAAATGTTAATGATGGACAACGAAGGGCAGACACAGGGCGACCACAATAGGTCACATTGAGCATGTTGTTGAGAGAAAAAAAAAATAGCGATTCCTACTTCAGTCATAGAATAGTGAAAATAGTGACATATTAAACATGTTTTCTTCTTGATTTCAGTGGCCAAAACAACATTGTCGCAGTAGTTGGAAGTGTCCTTGGTACACTATGTTTTTGTTTAGTTCTGGCATTAATACTTATGTTTATTTTACGTCGAAAGAGGAAGGAAAAAAGGTATTACGTGTTCATTATTGTTTGGGTTTTCGCTGCCATTGTTACGTGTATTGATTAACAATCTACTTTATATTTAATTTGCAGAATTTACATGTATACAAAATACAAAAAAAAAACCAAACAAAACAATCTGGCTTAAATTAAAGAAAGGTTTTATAGTGAATCAAAAAAGGAATAATTTTGATTCGTTTATTCATTGTAGTGGGAAGTCAACGGCCAATAACGATTACACAAGTCCGGTTACAGATACATCGGAAGAACATCAATATAGTACCATTGACATGGTACTTGGTAAGGAGATGTTTTAGCTACATTTATGATACATTTCTTCAGCCTTGTTTACTGCGCATTTTACCAGAGTAAAAGACAAAATTTCCTGTCAACAAACCATAACTTCAACAATAAATTTCGCTGATATACAGATCTGCCACACTATTTGTCAAAGTTATTTCTGTATAATTATTAAATAAAACTCGAGACTGTAATCTTAATTGATATTGCTAAAGTCGACTTAGGTACGTGAGATATGACTTTCACCTTCCATATCCCTCATTGACATATTCAATCACTAAATCTGCATATTTTCAATTTTCTTTTAACTGCTTTCTTAAGATTTTCCCTTTCTTTATTGAATAGTTTTCATCGGTTTAATGAGAAGCTCGATCGTGGCGTCATATTATAGTTTAAAAATGAAAACCATTGCATTAGTATAAAATCCTAATCCTACTCAATTACATGATTTATTTTTATTCCAGACACACAGACACGACAAAGGAACGACGCGTATGAAAATGGAAGAATCGCGCCCTTTTGACGTTTATTTTACATGCATCCAACATAGAAGTCTTTAGAAATTTTGTTTTCAAGTTTCATTATGCCTTTTTTCTTGAAACAAATTTAATTCAATTACATCCAGTGTTGCAGATTGAATATTGCTTCAGTAGATGCTACGGGATGTAAGATATGTTGTATCTTTATTATTGCTCATGGACACAATCATGCTTTACTTCTGCTTTTCTTGCTCTCTAATTAAGGGATCTCCTAACAATTTTCCAGTTTTTATACAGTGAAGATATTTCAACCGTGTTTTCAATAATTCAGGTCTGCAAATATAAATATGAAAGGATATGTTGTTGTTGTTTTTCTTCAACTCGTAAAACAGATGCGGCTCATTAAAGAAAAGCATTTTGACAACATGGGTGTAGTTGTGCTTGACTATGAGGGTAGAAAATGTGCCCATCTGGTGGAACGTCGTGATATCACTTACAATTCATTAATCTTCTAAATTCAATTTTGTTGTTGTTTTTATACTTGATATTCATTCAGTTATTACAAAAAAGTCAGAATTTGTTTGATATGAAACCTGTTCATGTTTACTGATACTCAACTGTTATCTCTATAAATGCCTGAACGATGGCACATTGCATTCATCAAAGACATCTTTATTTTGTGCAAGCATTTAATGGGGTTAGCTCTAACTATAAGAGGGTTATTTGATAAAAACATGGACCACGACAATTTTCAAGTATATGACCAGTATTAATAGTTCATGGTCACCCACAAATACTTTAACAACTCTTTGAAAATTTTGTTTTTGTTTTTTAAAGTACAAAGCATCAATTTGTGTGGTATTTATTGCATAAGTTTAGTGAAACTTACTGTAAGTCTTTAACCTTAATACAAAATGTAAATGTAGTAGAAATTACTAAGATTTCTTACAATTAAATCTATTCATTCGCATTTACAAAATGAAAGGAAATCGAACATAGAAATATGCACACATGCATTTTTTATTTAGTGCTTCTAACGTTGGCAAATCAGATGTTGTTTTTTTTCTACGACATAATATTTATCCAATTAATGTCAAAAGTTTGTTATAAATGTTTCTTGCCGGTAGCATGTAAGGAGTTGCTTAATCTCACATTATAATAATAATGGTGTACAAATGGTTCTAAGTAGAGTTGAGGTATGGCGACTGAGGTGGCTATTCCAGACACATCATAGAATACTTTTTTCTACCGAGTCACCACTACGCCAGACCTCCAACCCTTCGAATATATGTTGTACCCAAATAAGTGCAAATTGAAACAATGCACACCTCACAACCTGCAAGTTCTTGAGATAAAGTTCATGGTTCTTAGAACATGATAGCTGGAATAATTTTGTAGAGATTGAATAGAGGTTGCAACACAAGTGTGGGAAACTATTTTGAACCAAGAGGAATTATTCATACAAAGTTTGTAGAGGATTAAAAGGTAATGGTATTTACCAAATATCTTTCATCTAAGTATGGTACAGTATGTTTAGTCAATCCGAATCTAAGGCAATCAGAATCACACCATTTAATTTCTTTTTTATTTATTAATTAAAACAAAATGATACGTTCCTAATGTTTCCATAGACAAAAGAATCAGTTGATATAAGTTTTAAAAAATGAGCACTCGTGTGTAAGGAAATATATTGATGTATATGTTTTGAGTGATCCAGGACTACTTAAATGACAAGTAATTTACATAACCTTTGCTTTAAATGAAGGCTTTGATATTTTCAAATAACCTTTTCCATACTTTCTGTTTAATGTTTGTCTTATGTTTTGAAATAATCAATTTATTTTTTTCATGTAGATTTCTATTTTTTTTTCTTCATGAGTGTTTAATGTCAAGATTTCAGGAAACGGGAAAAAATGACACCTGTTACTATAAGATTGTGTCATATGAATGTTACAACCTAAAGCACTCAAAAAATATTGCAAAAATAACGCTTTTCATCTGGTGATTCCGATTGCCTACACTGACTGTAGTTCAGTTGTTGTTGTTTTGTTTTTTTAGATATGTTTGAAATGTAAGTCTATCTATCCCGGATCGGGCCATTTTGTTTCTGCGGTACTGATTCATATAAGTTTTGTAGACTTCATTAAAGCAATACCACATGCAAAATATTTACGCTCTGAGCATTAGAATTTTAAGGAGATAGTTGATTTCCAAAGTATATTTTAGTTCTGGTAACTTGTTGATACATCAGACTGGAACTATTCTAAAATATAAATTTTGTAGGTAAAGTTCCATCTCTGTGAAGTTTTGTAAAAATCCTAGGGACATTTTTCCCATCCAAGTGTAAGTTTTGAGAGTACCCGTACATAAGTCAACGGAAGTTTAACATTTCCCTCATTTATTCCGATTTCATATTCTACTGTGTAATGAAAATTAGTTTGAAAATGAGCATATTGCCAGTATAGATTTTTGGACAACGGCGACTGACTTACAACAGACAACATATCATAAAGCTCACCTATGAATATTTTGTGCTTAGACGAATTAAAACATGGTAATGTGTATTTCTTTCAAATGGTTCCCGATCCATCTTTAAACAAAGATGGTTTTATTTGTTTAATTTGTTTTATTTTTAGTTACATAGACACTGCAACTTTCACTTGGTGAGGAAGACCTTAGGTTCCTTTTCTTCATACATTATTTCTGGCACGAGGTGACATGTGGGTAGACCCCATCAAAGTATGCAACACAATAAAATGGAAAACAAAACACAAACCTAGTTGTAATATTTTAATTATGCCATGGCAACAAATAAAAAGTTTTGGAAAAGAAGGTTATACAATAGTATAAATAACATATTAAAGTTAAATATTCAAAATTCTATTTCATCAATTATTTCATACATCACATAAATAATACATTGCATGTGGTTATGACCAGACTGCACAATATGACATTCAAAATAACAATTAATAATGTTCATGTAAATTTATTTCAGATAAATTTAGGTATACTAATCAACTTGATCTGAAAGTTAACATTTCAGGTTGAATTATCTTACTCTCCTATAGACATTGGGAAAAATGTAACTTTTACTACATAGACCCCCTGAGGAAAGAACAACAGGTTTTTTTTTATGAAATACATTCAGTGAACAAGATAACTCTTTTCATAAAAACAACTTTAAATACAGGGTGGAAAAGTGATATTACTTTGAACAAGTGCATGATAACCAACTGAAACTGATACAAAAATAGCACAAAGAATAAAATAAATGACAAATTACATTAAGACAAGCAAATCAAACAAGTTGACACGAGTTCACTTAAACAGTTAAACTTAAGTTTTGTTCCTGAATGTAAAACGCTAAGTTACATGTACCAAAGATTATGAAGCAAAATAAGATGAAATCATAATTTTAACCATACCTACATTTATGAAATAAATTTAAGGTTATTAACATTTATTTTACTAATAGTTTGAGTCTTTCTCTATTGAAAGTTATTTGAATACTACTTAAAGAAAACAAATAACTGAGATCGGGGAAAGTGGTTATTCTGGAGAATATCAGTTCAGGTTTAACCAGGGAGGCTCATAGGTCCACCAATAAGGCTATTCATTATATTATTATTACATTCTCATATAATACAACAAACACTGTAATCTCAGTGAAAAACAATCACAAATATAAAACAATAATTAAGTCCCAATTACCAAGAATCTGACCTCATTAATTAAAGCTTCTAAATTAATGCAAAAGAAGATATGAAAGAAAATAATTACATTTCATTGATTAACAAAATTCCAAAAAATATTAACCTATTTTCCTGAAAAATCCTAGATGTTACATGAAGTGCAATATTGTTCAAAATACATATTATTTATACTGTGAATAATAAAAACATGCAGAAAATCCTCATCAGAATATCTGAATACTGGTTAAAATTTTGAAAATAATTAGTCCTTATTTGACTAACCAAATGTGATGTCCCTTTCCTTAACCTTAAAGACTTACCAAGATTATCTCCCTTTGTCATGATTAGATATATATACTAGTTATTGATTTAAATAAATTAACAATGTCATAACTTTAAAGCAGCATGCCTCCAGATTATGCTAACTTTCATGAAAATTAAGAAAATGTGTTTAAAAGTATTATTTAGTGAAATAACCAAAAGGAAGCAATTTACAAATTATCAATTGCACTTACAGCCCACGTAAATTACAAAAAAGAGGACAAAATATGCAAAAATTGCCCTTACTGCATTAGTAATGCAGTAGAAATATAGTTATAAATACTGAAAAATCAATCATTAATTGCACATATGATGTAAATTATTACTTGAATCTTGAATATTTTTACTTTTCCTAAAATCTTAGTATATTTTTCTCAAATTTGATTTTATTGAAATATTTTCGCTCATCTGGAGGCATGCAGCTATGCAAAATATTACACAATATTTACAAATTTTACATACTGTAGCATAATAATTTGAACAGATTCCTAACTTTACCACAAATTAATTCAGTAAAAGAAGATGAAGCTACGGACTGTAGGATTATGGACATTGTTAAGTTACATGCAGTATGTTTATGTACAGTATTGTACTGTGCAGCTAGGCTTTTATAGTTTTAAGTATGTACAGGGTGGTTTGCATGCCTCTTGTAACAGTCAAATTTGGACAAGAAAGAAACATACATTATCTAAGGTTTATTTCGAGGTAATCATTAAGCTGCAAATAACTATTATACCAGTATACATCGATTGACTTCAAGTTTGTTCATTCACTATTACTCGACATTCAGTCTAAGTCTCTTGTTCTTTTCTGTATTTTCAAACCGTGTTCATTGTTTCTGAATAAATGATCAACAAATAGACCACGTTCTTATTTAGAAAGAGCAAAAGCGAAGTCGAAACAGGGTGAAAAATACTTCTGAATGGACTCAAAATATTAGGAAACGAATGAGACAGAGTGGTAAAGAACACACTAATAGTAAAGGTGTGATAAAAAGAGCAAGAGAATTCAAGACAATAAAGGACTGTCAAGACAAATGCAAATGTACATGTTCAAGTAAGTTTTCACCTTCCAACAGTAAAGAGATATTCAATGGTTTCTGGGATATAAACAATAGTGAGAAAAATTGATTTTATTCAAATGCTACAAACAGGATCTTAATAGAAAGAAGGGGAAAAAATCTGAAAATTCCAGTAGAAAGTATTCTTTACAATACTATCTCGAGAGAGGTATAGATAGAATTCATTTTTGTAAAATATTTTACTTGATATTAGTGCAAAGCACATTGAATACTTTTACAATCGACAGAATGGCTTCGAAGAAAAGCAAGGAAAACACTCTAAGAATAAAATCTCAGAATAAAAACGGGAAGGCATTCGTCAACATATCAAATAATTTCCAAAAATACTGGCACATTAT